TGAATGAAGACCTAGATTTTGCAGCACAAAACCTGAGTTTAGGACCGCTCGTGTGAGCACAGCTGAGGGCAGCGGGCAATCCTCCAGCAGCCACGGCACGGCCTTACACGGGGATGCCACTGGCATCTCACTGTCTGCTCTCTCTAACAGCAGCATTTTGTCTCGTAGTAGCCCACAGCATCAGGTATTGTCAATAGTCTCAGCGCCAGCTTCATCTTGTTGAAGTGCCAAAAAGTGCATTTTAACAGCTGAAAAAAAAATTACTGGTTTGTGGCTTTGGTTGCTCAATCAATTAACTGAGACACAACGACTTTTTAAGCCTACCAAACCAAACCTGTTCAGGTTTTAATTTCAAACCAAGTCATGTTCTTTAATCTGAAACCAGCCTTTTAATTTGGGCTTGGGATTTTCAGCAATTGGAGACACAGATTCTTTGGAAACAGGTGAGTTGAATTTTCACGTGGTTTACGAGCCCTGGTCTTGGGGAGGTGTTTTGGGAAATTTCACTTGCGCGCAGTAGTCCGGATTTGGTCTTTGCTGGAGAGGTGGGCCTGTGTGAACCTCATGAGGTTCAACAAGGCCAAGTGCAAGGCCCTGCACCTGGGTTGGGGTAACCCCCAGTATCAGTACAGGCTGGGGGAAGAAAGGATCAAGAGCAGCCTTTTTGTGCAAGTGTCGTCCCCTGGGTCGGGGTACCCCCCAGTAACAATACAGGCTGGGGGAAGAAAGGATCGAGAGCAGCCCTGCCGAAAGGGACTTGGGGGTGCTGGTGGATGAAAAGCTGGACATGAGCCAGCAATGTGCGCTGGCAGCCCAGAAGGCCAACCGTACTCTGGGCTGCATCAAGAGAAGCAGATGGAGGGAGGTGATTCTGCCCCTCTACTCTGCTCTGGTGAGACCTCACCTGGAGTACTGCGTCCAGCTCTGGAGCCCTCAGCACAAGAAGGACATGGAAGTGTTGGAGCGGGTCCAGAGGAGGGCCACAAAAATGATCCGAGGGCTGGAGCACCTCTCCTATGAGGACAGGCTGAGGGAGTTGGGCTTGTTCAGCCTGGAGAAGAGAAGGCTGCGGGGAGACCTGCTTATGGCCTTTCAGTACCTAAAGGGGGCCTATAGGAAAGATGGGGAAAATCTTTTTAGTAGGGCCAGCTGTGACAGGACAAGAGGTAATGGCTTTAAACTAAAAGTGGGTAGGTTTAGACTCGATATAAGGAAGAAATTCTTTACAATGAGGGTGGTGAAACACTGGAACAGGTTGCCCAGAGACGTGGTGGAGGCCCCATCCCTGGAAACCTTCAAGGCCAGGTTGGACGGGGCTCTGAGCAAGCTGATCTAGTTAGCGGTGTCCCTGCTCACTGTAGGGGGGTTGGACTAGATGACCTCTAGGGGTCCCTTCCAACCCAAAACATTCTATGATTCTATGATTTCTCAGGAATTTCATTATCCTCGCTGCGCCTGTGACAGTGCTGTTGGTGGCAGGTGAAGGATCTCCAGGACCAGCATCCTCTCTTTTGAGAGAGGCAAAGGAGTAAACGTGACTGCAGAGGAGTAAAAGGGAATAGAAGGAAGGAGGCGGGACAGCAACGTGCCATGGGGAGGGAGGGAAATGGCAGGATGGCTCTTGTCTGCACCAGAGCATCCTCTGGGGCCGTAGCTCACTGCTTGCTTGGCAGCTTGCTTACATCTGAGGCTGGACCAGTGCAGGACAACCCTCCGTAGCTTGGCTCCGCAGCTGCAGCCCAGTGGGCAACGTGAGAAGCTGCCCTGGGTGCAAATATCACTAAGGTATGGAAAATCTGGAGAAAGAAAGAGTCCTTGAGGGGACAAAAATTATGTGGGGCTGTTTAAATGAGCTTGGGAGGCACAGACTGGGCTTTGATGTAAGCTTCCCCCAGGGTCTGCAGATGTATGGGTCGTTAGCAAAATTATTTAAGAAACTAAGTAACAGGGAAAACCCAGGTTCTGAGGGACAGGCTGGAGGAAGCCTCTGAGCAGAAGAACAAAGGGAATCCTGGAGAAGGTGAGGGCGCTGAAGGTGCTTCCTAGTTTCATTGTGATAGCGATTTTGCTAATGTGATAATCTGCATCACGCAGAGAGCAGAACGTGGCCCAGGATGGGCCACCTCCCACAGAATGTCACGGCTCTGTCCCCCGTTTGGGAAAGGGAACTGGCACCCCGACACACTTCTCCCCAGGGCTCCAAGACTGCAGCAACAAAAAGCACTTTGCCCTATGGTATTGGTTGGGTTTGGCTTTGCTGAGGGGACCTGAACACCCTCTCAGCACCGATGCCGGTGCAGCTCCCCTGGGTACTCAGTTGGCTGTGAATCTCCCATGGGTGTTTGGCCAGTAATATTTATTCAATGATATTTAGTAAAATGACAAAAAAAGAGGCCCCTTGAAAATTACCATGATTTTTCACATGCTTAGGAAACTCCTAAGCAACAAATTCTATGGCATTCTTTATTTTTTAAAGTGAATCATTAAAATGAAGGCCTTCAAAGCACAGTTGTTCAAAACTTGTTCGTAAGATTTTTTTTCCTGTTTCTATTTCATTAATCTGCAGAAAAAAAATTAATCAAATGGAACGCTGCCTGTTAGTGTTTCTTTCTTTCTTTTTCAGCTCAACAGGCATTTTTCCTTTAAAAAATAATGAAAAGAGCTCTTCAGATGTATAGATTTCCATGGTGCATCTCCCGGGGCTGGAAAAAGGAGCACACGAGGGTGACTGTAACCTGTTGATCAACCGCTGTATAACTGCAGGCCGTGCTGGTGCCGGGGGCTCCCGGGTGGGCAGCTTTAGTGACAGGGCCATTTGGAGCATCCCCCAGCCTCACCCTCTTTTCCGGGAACTGCTGGCAGCTTTGGGGATCCTCTTTGGTCCCTCAGGGGCAGAAGAGCCTTTGAGGGGACCTCAAAAGGGTCCAGCTTGAAGCCTGGGGATTCAGTTGCAATTGCGTCTGGCAAAGGCTCTGTTTTTTATTGTTCAGGGACCTGAAAAATAAAGCAGCTTCTGATGGCTACGCAGCGGGGAAAGGCAGGAGTACCGCTGGCTCCCGCTGGGGATGTGCGCTGGGTGGGATGGGGATGAGCAGATGATGAAGAAACCTTTTATTTCCAGGGGTCTCCTTCTTTCTCCCCACCCCAGGGCATCCTGCCAACCTTGAAC